TGCAATCAAGGATGAAGCTACTCACACACAGTGTACCTGAGGTCCCAGTCCTGCAAATACTTAAGCCATGGCCACCGACAGGGGAACAAAGGGAACAGTTGCCCCTTTTAAATTGCTGCCAGAGCCCCACAGGCTAAAGGCTGGTTGGGGGAGGCATATTGCAGACCAGGCAGGATTGGCTGCCCCTAGTTATGCCTCTTTGGGTTGAGGTCCTGCACCCTCAAGGGGGCCCAGAGCCAAGACCTGATTTAAGCATAGGAATAAATTTATATGTTAGCAGTACCATTGAATTTAAGAACACTATTCATATGTTTAAACATGCATAAATTGTTGCAGGGATGAGTCCTAAGGGCGAAATCTCCCTAAAAATATATATATTAACCAGCTAAATTTTCACTGATTATACAAGTATTTAAAAAGTTAGATATTTTAAAAGCATCCTTAATGTTACCTACCAAGTTAACAGTCTACTGCATTAGTAAAAAAATGCAATCTCTTGTTAGAAAAACTGGTCAAGATTAGAGAAAAATCATGACACATTTTTGAAATTTTCAAAGTTGTTTCCAAATGATAGGCTTCAAAACTGACCCATTTGGGGATTTTAATAAATGTATTATCCGAAACATTTCCAAACTGGTTACCAATTTTCTTCATTTACCCAAAACTAGGTTCTCAGTAACCATTTTACCAAAATCCTATCTTTCATTTATAAAACCTCTTTGATAAACATTTCAATAATAGGTTTTGAAAAAAATGTTGAAAAAGCTTTTGACAAAATTTTCATAATTTTCAAGGGGGTACTATTTTAATGAATACACTTTTCATTCAAAATACTTTGACTAACTACTGTTCAGAGTACATAGATGTGAAAACAAAAGTGGAGAGCACTTGAATACTTAGCCCTTGATTATTTTAGCCTTTCTCTGTGGTCATGATCTAAAGTCCATTCTAGTGAACTGAAAGACTCCCATTGATAGTTTTAGAATTAAGTCCTTAGAAGATACCATTTACCCAGCACAAGAACTTCACTGGAAACATCATTGAATACATTATCCCTGCAAGCCTGTTCCTGTAGTCATTAGTCTGGATGGGAGTTTTACCAGAGCTAGTGCAGCAGATCTAGGGCTATGTCTACACTACAAGTTTTGCCGGAAGAGGGAATGTACATGAAGCGCGGATTAGCATTTTCTCACGCTTCATTTGCATACTCTCTCCCAATCCGTTTTTGTGATAGGGGTTTTTGTGCAAAAACAAGCAGTGTGGACGTTTCCTTTTTGCACAAAAAAACCTTTTTGTGCAAGATTGGTATGGATCTTGTACAAAAAGGGGGTTTTTTTGCACAAAAAGGAAATGTCCACATTGCTTGTTTTTTGCAAAAACGGATCAGAAGAGAGCGCGCAAATGAAGCGTGAGAAAATGCTAATCCGCGCTGCATTTGCATAGCCTCTTCTGGCAAATCTTGTAGTATAGATATAGCCTAGGCTTGTTTTTAGGTACAGAGTGTTTGTGTGTTGTCACAGGTATTGCCATCAGTCATGTGAGGATTTTATTTGGTTGCCGAATTATCTTTTTTTTTTTTTTTTTGTTTAAAAATGTATAGCAATTGGCCCACAGCAATTTATTCCCCTTTCACACACTGGTTACCAGGTTTTTGAATACACATCTAAGAAAGAGGGTAACTGAAAAAATGCCAATTGTCCCATTTTATGAGCTAACTATAACAAAATACTAAAGTGAACCCCTATTGGACATATAGGATGAAGACTAGATCCACTGAAATCAATGGCAAAACTTGTATTGAACTTAACAATTCACTAGAGATTTGCACACATTCATATATGCCTTAACAATGCTATGCCATTTCAATTCAATCTAAGCCCCCAACTTTGCAAACACACCAATAGTTAATTTTACTACCATGAACAGTTCCACTGGACTCAACAAAACTACTCTCAGTAATAATATTAAGCACATGCATGAGTGTTTGCAGAATCAGGATTTCCCACACACACAATATACAGGGCAAAATTATGCCTGTAGATATGTATATCCATTAACTTCAATGGATGTTGTATTCACGTACGTAGTGATAGAATTTGATATGCTAAATATTCACAGTAAGATTTTCCAAGAAATCAGAGTCCTGTAAATAACATCATATGGGCTTACAAAAGAGATGCTGACTTACAAGGCAATATTATTGGTGTGTTGTCTTGGAAAAGAACAGCATTACCACTCTACAGTACAATATACACACATAAGTGGAGACATATGCCCAATATGCATTGTCCTAGATATGAAGCAAGATTTCACTAAACAGGAAAGAGATTGATCACTCATCCATCTCCAGCCCATGTTTAAGATATTAATAATTACTAGTATGGGCTGTATATTTAGAGGGACCAAACCTGGTGTTCTTACTCAAACAAAATTCCCACTGACTTCAGTAGAAGTTTTCTTTACAGGACTGCAGGGTTGGATTTGGAAGGAGCAATGGATAGATTTTATTGCTCTGATTGAGCTAGATACATTTCTGGTGATCATTTCAAACCATGTATACCAGTAGAAAACTCTGTACTGAACATACACGTACTACAATATTCACTGTACATATACTGGATTTTATAAACAAAATATTGGAAATTATCACAAGAAATGCATTCAAACCAACAAAATGGTAAGACCTTGCATGAGATTTGTTTTAAATGCTGCGAGCAAACAGTGACAAATGCTATCCAGTGCATGAAATATTTAAGGCTCTTTGACACAATCTAGGATATCTGCCTGTTGGCTTAGTTTTGTGTTGAAAATAAAACTGAAACAATACCTGTTATAGCAACATTTTAAACTTTCAAAAGTCCCCAGGGCAGTTGGAAATGTTAGAGTGCATGCCTGCATGCACATGAGTGTAGTAGCCATGTTTGACTTACCTCTTGAGGACTGGTTTTTTAATTTCTTTTTTATTGAAGATGTGTGTTACATGAAGTAACATGAAGTACTTTTCATTAGAAGGGGATCCATTACTGTGACATATAAGTCTACTTAGTGCAGACATTTCTAGGAGTCACCATAAAAAGTAACACAGTGAAAAATAGAGTCCAAGCTGGACTCCATTCAACCCAAGATAAACAGAAATAAGAGGTGGAAACTGAGCGGATGCATTTGCAATAGTCACGATATCGGGAGACAACAATTCTACCTTGTGAATTGTTCAGTCAGCATCTTATGCCCACATGGATGATCATGCAGGAATAGAGCCTCAATTTCCATTTCCAACAGTTGTATTATCATGATTTTTCCAGTATTCCCTGTATAATTTCAGCAATATCATACTGTGTTTAATTAGTCAAAAAGTATATTTGTAACAATTCTAATAGTAGCCACTGCCAAAAAAGTAAAGGGAAATTAGCAAAATCTGTCATTTGAGTACATTATTACAATGGCATTTCTCTGACCATGCAGTGTAATGTTATTTTATGACAATAACTATCAAATAGTGAAATGCATTTCACAAGCGGGGAAATATCTTACAAAAATTTCTCTAAACCATATTTTTAAGCATTTTTTTTGTATTACATTACTTAATACCTTCAGGCAACACCTATCCAGCAAAAAGCACTTGAGCTCTCGAGTAACATTAAGTACATGAGTGTCCAACTGAAGTCATGTGCTTAAGGTTATGCGGGTATGTAAGTGTTTTCTTGGATCGGGGCCATAATCCATTGGTTTATATGTCTAAGTATGTGGTTAAAAACCATGATGTGCTATGTGTAATTTCTTTAGCCAGGCAGAATATTTAGAGGGAATTTGAGTCAGTAGACCAGGTTTCCTTCCTAATTCTGCCACTGACTCTATGTGCGATCTTAAGTAAGTGATTTCGCCTCTCTGTGCCTCAATTTCTGATCAGCAAATTGGTGATCATGCCAACTTTTGTAAACCGCTTTGAGCACTTTAGATGGAAAGTGCTATGTAAGTGCAAAGCATTATATTATTAAAGACCATGTATGTACACACTATTATGTAATATATAATATATGTATAATACATATAAATTCTAACAAATATATGTGTAATATCTTAAAAATGGAGCAGTTTTGTCTTGTTGAAGTGGTAAATGCATAGAGCTGGATTTATTGTTAATCTGTGGATTTAAATTTTTTAGACAAAAGGATGTTTAAATGTATAATTACTTTTAATTTAATATATTTATGTACATGCATGCCTGAAGTTCTGGTTAGGTAGTGTTTTTCTTTGTCCTTTAAGCTAATAAAATATATGAAACCATTGTCTTAATTTTTGTTAGGAACAGTTAATTCATGCCAAGAGTAAAAACATTCATTGAAATGTACACCAGTTTTATTTGTATAAAATCTAGTCTGCTTTCATAAAATGTGACTTGAAACGCTGCTAATATTCTCTGCGTGTATTTGTCCGATTTTTGTTTCTAGCTAAAGATGAAAGTAAAAAATAAGACCCTTTTATTGAAAAAGACACCTCTTTCATTGCACAAAATCTGTGTACATATGTATGAATAAAGGCACAGGAGCTACTTCAAATGCATTTGTTTAAAGATCAGCTCAATGGCTAATGGAAATAGTTTATTTTTAATTTGTTTCATTTATTCAACATCTTCAGAAGACTATGTTAATGCAACAACTTATTTAATACTGGATGCATCACTCCATATTTTAAAGTAAGGGGTCATAAAACTGAATGACTTAAAAAACAACAAATAGTCTGGTAGCACTTTAAAGACTAACAAAACATATAGCTGTTATCATGAGCTTTCGTGGGCACAGCCCACTTCTTCAGATGACCAGAGTGTTGGAAGTGCAGAACCAAGAATAAATAAGGGGGGGGGGAATATTGGAGGGGGAGGGAAGAGAACATTGAGTAGATAGTTTCAAAGGGATAGTGGAAACAATCTGTAACAGAAAAAACTTAAACAACAACAAATAGTCTATTAGCACTTCAA